CCCCCCCATGAATTTTGGGTTATTTTTTGTCTTCTTCCTAGGCGACGTCCGCCAGCTGTTCCAGGAAGATCATCCTAACACACACCTTTCTTTTTTGTTACATGCAATCTTTTTTTTTTGTTTTTGTCCAAAATTATCTTTAATTTGCACAAGCCTATTTGTAAATGAAAGATTTTATTTTCAGATGTCAATAATAAGCTTGGATACAAAGGAAATAAAAATTCTGACTACAAAATGAATGTGTGCTCGTGTTCTATTGAAGGGTCCACCCACTCTTTCTCAGGTGGAGCCGTTCGCACCTCGTGGAAGAACTTGTGTGGGCTTTGCAGAGACTCCCACCTCCGAGGTGGCGGAGGGAGGGACGCTCTGCTGGGACTCCACCAGTGCTTCTGAATTCAACAAGCACCAGGATTGCTCCATGTAAGCGGCTCTGGGTTAGCGTCGGCAGGAAGAATAGCCGGCTTCTTCAACAGCAAGAGTCCTAGAACATGTCTGAGCACCAGCAGCAGCACCTGGCCGAGTGGAAAGGTCAAAGGAGAAGATTGCAGCAGGCTCCAGACTGATGAATCTGCACAATTATAAATAAACCACAGCTGCTCTGACCAGTTTTTTTTCAAGCTAAACAACTGAATTCCTTGCAAGCCGACCTCATTGGAGCATCTGAGCTCAAATAGCTGTAAGCAGTGACCTCTGGGATTCCAAGTGTGTCTGTCCCTGTGGGACAGACAGAATCTGGGATTTAACATTTAGAAGATGTGCTTGCTTGGGGATGCCAGAGAAGTATATGAAAAGTCTAAAAAAAAAAGGAAAACAGATGGGGTTTATTGACTTTTTTTTCTCATATGAAAACAAAGAAATCTCACAAACATGCAGATAAATCAGAAGGCACTGCACAGATGTGAACTGGAGGCACAGCGCAGCATCAGGACCCCAGCCTGTTGTTTGAGGGGCACACACACCACGTTTCTTTGTCGTAGGAAGGTGAGAGGGAGCTGCAGTGGTGCTGCTCAGAGTGGAGGGAGCTTGTAGAGAGGTGGGTGCTGGTCTCTTCTCCCAGGTGATGGGGGATAGAACAAGGGGAAACGGCACCAAGCTGTGCCAAGGGAGGTTCAGGTTAGAGATAAGGAGGAAGTTCTTTACTGAGAGGGTCGTCAGAGGCTGGAACAGGCTGCCCAGGGAGGTGGTGGAGTCACCATCCCTGGATGTATTTAAAGAGCGGGTAGACGAGGTACTTAAGGATATGGTTTAGGGGGTAGACAGGAACGGTTGGACGTGATGATCTCAGAGGGCTTTTCCAACTGAGCAATTCTGTGATTCTGTGTGATTCTGTGAATGGGAGCAGGCTGAATTTCATAAGCTGCTTTTTTTCCAGGTTGTTCAAAAATCTGTTCTGCATCGGGGGGAAACTCTCACCATTCCCTCTCGGATACAGCATGGTACCAACAACAAATAAAAGGTGGCTGATGTTTTAGCTGTATGGCCTTACCTACAGCACCCCAGCCTGCTGCCGCTGTCCCTCCAGCTGCCAGCCAACCTCCATGCATTAGGCTACATGGCACAAACTTCTGTCTTGGGGCGTTTCACGATGTTAGACCTTTCACAGAAATCTTTTTTCTGAAGTATTTGATTAAAAAATACTGTTGTAACTAGGACTCTGAACGTCATCCTTTTTCCGGTAGCTGTTCCTAAAATCTCCTGAGTAGAAAGACTAAGTATTGGTGTGCTGGGACACCTTGGCACGTTCTTGACCATCAACTTGCGGGATGACTTCTTGAAGCAGCTGTTGAACCTTGGCTGTGCTGTTTCCACCCCGCAATGCTGCGTGTGCTGTGGGTTGGAGAAGGCTGAGGCTGCTGCACCAGCTGGTGGCACTCTGGCTGCTTCTCAATGGGTGGGTTAGGCCCAAAGTCCTGGTTTGGTTTCCTGATCATTCACTTTGCTGTTTCCTTTCATGTCACAAAGCTGAGAAAACCTTAGTGGTTACTGTGGGAATTGAAGAGATAGACAGATCTTGCCTTCAAAGACTACGGCTTTGCTCTTTCCAGGCTTCCCAGACAGGGGGATGTGGGCCCCTGACAGCACAGTGTGGGTGGCTGACGCCTGCCTTTCCCTGCAGCAGAGGCTGTAGATGGAGATTGCAGACCGCACGTGTCAGCAGCTCCCCCAGGAGCTGCGCTTATCCCCGGCCAGTTTACTCGCATTTGGCCAGCTTCAAATCAAAAGAAAACGTCCCACTGAAGTACACGATCTCAGTGGACTTGGAAACCTAAGAGGAAGAAACTGCACTTCCTTGTAATGCAAAGTAACGTTTAACTGTTCAGAGTTGGTTGATGATGATTCGGTTGCATGCAGCCTAAGAAGGACCCGTTTGTTTCTTTGGTCTGATCGTCAGAGAAGCCGCAGACTGGTTCACCCAGGCAGCAATTGCTCAAAGGGCGCCCAGCTTTACTGCTGAGTTGGGTGCAGAGTTATGGCAAGGTTTTGTTCTGTAGAGCATATTCTGACCTCAGGCATAAAGACCTACTCATAATGGCCATTTATTCAGCATCGTAAATAACTTCAGCAGCACTGCAAAGCATGCGTCCTCAAGAGGTCAGAGAAGTCCCAGGGAAGCTGTCTGGCCTTTGTGTCTCCTCCTCTCCCTGGCTCTCCCTTGCATTCTTCTCTCCTTCAAAGTCCCTTTGCGCATCCAGGCTGCGGACTGGGCTTTATCTTTTCAGACTCGCAGGTTTGGAAGGGCAGGGCAGCCGTGCCAGCAAGCTAAGGGGAGGGCTAAGCCTTTCCCCAGGGGTCTCTGGGCAAGGACTGAGGCTGAGGAGGTGAAGGGAAGGAGCTGGGCAGAGCAGAGGGGCCAGGGGCAGCGATGAAGCTGCCTGTGCCGTGCTGGACAGGACTCACCTGTGTCCTGCCTGGAGCTGGGCAGATGGGGCCTGCCAAATCCATCTAGGCCCAGGGATCTGCACAGGGGATCCACTGGGATCCAGGCGTGGCCGAGGCAAATGTGGCAGTGTGTGCCCATTCCCACCTGGAAGGATGTCTGTGAAGTTGATGTTTGCACTTTTTCTAACCCAGAGCTGGTTTTGAGAGTCTGAATTTGGGAAGACTGTTTTTTTTTTTAAAAAACTATTTCTCTCTGGGAGAATGGGTGCAGCAGAAACTCTGAGCTCTTGTACCTTCTGCTGTGACAGATGCTAACAACAGGCGCCAGGCAGGCCAGATTTGATTCACTTTTGATCTCCACTCAAGCCTTGCCCTACCAATGGACTCTGTGAATTGGCTTTGAACGGCAGCGTTACAGTGGCACTGGGCCAGCGCGAGATGGGACATCCCAGTCGCTGAGCAGCTTTCTGGGAAACCTCCTTGTAAAAAACCAGTCTTCTCTCCAAAGAACTAAAAACTGTCATCTTGACTGCGAGCATCTGGCTGCGCTGAGCTGCCTGCGAGACTGGAGCACAGGCTCTAAGCTTCTGCAGGTTTTATTTAATTAAAACCAAATTGAGATGTAGTCATCACCACGACGACAACAGCAACACTGAACACTTGGCAAGAGCTGTAACAAAGCACTGGAGGTGTTGGGGACTCTGCCGGGGGTTGCTCATTTCCAAGAGAGCCCAAGGAGCACGCGGCAAGCGCCCGCTTGCAGGGATGAGGCGCCGGCGCTCAAAGGGACAGGGTAAATCAAGCAGAGAGTTGCACTTCTGCAGCAGTGAGCGTTCAAGACAGAAAAGTTTCCTAAAAACCCAGGTAATGCCAAATGCATCCCTGCAAGGTAGGGCTGGGACACGTGTGTGCATCCCTCCCCTTTCATGGTGCCAGCTCCTGCAGGCTCTGCTCCCCGGGACGGCCAGAGCCGGGCTGTGAAGAGACGGTCCCATCTGGAAGCCCTCCTGGCACAGGGCCACCAGCGGGACTCGTTTGCTAGGAGCGCCCTCTGTTGCAGTGTGTGCGGTGCTGGACAGACGGCTGCTGGCCAGGCAGCCACCACGCTGGACCTTGCTGGGCCCAGCTGCTCTTGCCGCAGCCTGGCATCTCCCCAGCCAGTGGGTGCTGCCATGGGGTCTGTGCTGAGCTCCATCGCTGGAGAGGGGAGGAAGACCCCCATCCTCCTAAAGGATTTCAGGTAATGCGGTGTCTGGCAGTGGCGTGAGGCTATTCTCGTGTCAGCAACTGGCAGGGTGCAGGTGAGGGGGACTCTGCACTGGACCCCCACCCAACCTGGGGGTCTGACAGCACCCATGGCCCAATGCACTGCAGCTTGCCTGCAGCGACCTTCACCCAGCCCCTTCACCTCCCAGAGAAGTGCTGTCAGTCCCCCTAGCACACATCCCTGGGGCTGAGGATCTCTATGGACGTGCTGCGGAGCACATTTGAGCCAGATGTGTGTTGCCACATGGCAGCTCTGCTCAGAGGATGCACACCTCCCCTGCACCCTCCCTCATATGTAGGTATGGGTCTGCATGGCTGGAACCCCCCAAGCTGCTGCAAGGGCCAGCGGCTCTGCGGGTTCAGCTCTTTCCTTTGCCAAAACCAAGCAGGTCAGGTCTGGAAACAGATGCTGAGGGCAACACACACAAGCGTGGTCCTCACTGCTGTGCGGGCGGCTTTATTGGGCTGGTGTCCTCCCCACAGGGCTGTCCCCAGGCAAGAGTCTTTGTGCTGCTCACAGCAGAGGGTCCCCAAGGCCTGGCCTACATGAGGAACCTGGAGAGGTCCTCCTTGATTTCAGCCTCATCCCATGGTCCGTGGATGTTGTCCTTGAGCAGCTGAAGGCGAATAAGGCAGTAAGGGCAGAGGCAGGAGATGGCGAGCAGCAGTGAGGCGAAGAGCACAGCGCCCACGCTGGAGACGGTGGCCAGCCCCGCCAGCGCCACCAGCGCAAAGAGCACCGTCACCCCCACGTAGCACCGGGGCGTCTGGGCTTTCAGCTTCTTCTGCAGCATGGGCCAGAGGGCGAAGATCTGCATGGCGAAGGTGACCATGACGAAGGCGTGGAGGGAGCGAGGCAGGCGGGAGGCCAGGCACACCGACGCAAAGATGGCCATGTTGAGGGACAGCGTGCTGGAGACGATGGCGGCGTTGGCGCCGTAGTCGAAGAAGATGAGGTGGCCGAGGAGCATGAGGGCCGACATGGCGTAGATGGTGTCTGTGCTGATGGACTCCGTC